TCATACAGTCACACTAATTTTTATTCGTACAGTACAAGATAGCGTTTTCGTACAGTACAGTTTATATGTATACTCACCTTTTGCGGTTATAGCAGTTAAATTGAAGGTAGTCATGTGATTTTGACGACGGCCGTCGCCGAAATTTTGCAACTTTAATTCTTGCGTGTTAGTTTTGAAAATTTAACTCGTTTTTTTACATATACATAAAAGGGTAGAATATTTGGTGTTACCATGCAAGCAATAATAAAAGCTGACCATGAGATCATGTCAGTCGTCTTGCCACTTTTTGTTGGTCTTTATTATACAATATTTCAAAGAAGGGACTAGATCACATTACCTAGAACATAATCTGTTATAGCCTATAAACCTTTTTATCAGTAACCATGTCAACAAATGCGAGAGATATTCCCGCGATAAAAAAGGCGGACGGACCAACAGACTATAGTACTACACCATCAGGAACAATGTATTATAATACACCTGGAGGTTAGTTTTATTATTATTCGCGTTATAATTTTTTTATATTTTTGATAATGCAATAAAGAAAAAATGTATTTGCTGGAAAATTAAAACTGATTTCTTCGAAAACTCTACATATATAAAATTTCTTTATTTGTATGTTATATTATATTAAACTGTCTACTTTTTCATGATAAGGTACAAGAAGAATATATGACCGTGATACATTGCTTAATCTCGCTAATTCACCTCTCGCTAAAACCCCACCTTCCAATTTGGCATACATTCCTGGTGTCACAATAAAACCTAGTAGTGGCGTCGTAAATCAAGTTTCCGGCCATTTGGCTCCTCCACAATCTAAAACTGACCCTAAACAGCAACATGATTTATCCACTGGTGCTGAAAGTGACGAAGAGACAACACCTGGTAAGTATCAATAAATTTACGCAAATTGATGACAATATAATTTCTTCAAAAAACTTATCGAATTTTTATTTAATATAATAGAACACAAGGAGTCACATAATGATGGTTTATTTGACATGGATTTAGAATAATTATCATTCTTTATCTTCTCACAGTAGATTGTTCAGTAGCCTTTTTTTTATTCGTGTCATTGTAGTCTTTTTGTTATGTTCTCTTTGTGAAATAGTCCCTCCTTTGAAATTTTGTTGAATATCAATTTTTATGACTGTTTTTTTTTATTTCATTTAAATATAAAATGTATAACTATCCATAACGCCTAGATCGTTTAAGTGATATCACCTCAGTTAAATAAAAGTAAATTATAACAATCGTGAAGAATATTTTCACGCGTTTTGTAAAATATTAAAAGGAATAAAAGTTCTCTTTTTACTTACCGTAATCTGCCGGCCAAAAGACTTGCCGGGACACATCCACCCTGTGATACAAAAAGCATTTTGACATAAAATGCAATTGCGTCATTCAGTGCTAAAACTTTTGGATTATTTAACATTTGTTTTTATTGGATAATTTTGTACGATAATCAAACACGTGATAAAGAAATTTCTTCAAAATAATGACATCAATCATTTTTATGATATTATTTAATTATGTAAAAGAAGATAAACTATCATGACAATAAAATTGATATTCAGTCCACCGGAGGTAATAACAAGAGAACAAGCGGCACAAACGTATCAAGATATATCACCTGAGGGACTATACCCAATCATTCACTACATTCAAAATAATGTTCGTATTTTGATCACACCTCCAGTTGCTGCTGTTTTTTTGGGTAAAGGAACTTTATGGGTTACTGAAAGGTATTTTCAGCTATTGAACCTTTTTTTTTTTTTTTTTTTTTTAAAAAAAAAAAAAGTCATTGAAAGATATTTGAATTCTTCACTTCAATTAATATCATAATAATAATAATACCAAATTTTTATATAGCAAAGTGTTTTTTTATTCCTCGGAATCAAATAATGGATTAGCAATTGATTATCCGACAATAATATTACACGCTATAACGCGACAAGAAGCGGAAGGACGATGTGTTTATCTTCAATTAGATGAAAATTTTAATAACGTTGCTACAAGACAAGAAATACAAGGATCACTTCAAAATTCTGAAGAAGAAGAAGATAAAATTACAGAAATCAAACTCTTTCCTGATGATGGCGGTGTTCGTAAGTAAAAAAAAAAAATACACACGGTATAATCGAATTTAAAACTTAAGTAAATTAAAGTTTTAAATTATTGAAAATTATTATATTCCTATTTAAATAGTTGACGCGATTTATGAAGCTCTGTCTGAGTGTGCCGCATTACATCCTGATAAAGAATTCATGGAACAAGAAAATGATAGTGATAATGAATATTATGGAAATGGAAATGATAATAATGAATGGTATAATAATGCTAATGATGAATTGAGTGAGAGTGGAAGAGTAAATATTATTTATTCAATTTTAAACGAATTTTTTAAAGTCATATCATATATATATATTTTTTTTAATCAATAATGATGATGATGATTATTATTATTATTATTTTTACCAGACAACCTTATCTTACTTGGATTCGATTATAGATGATAGATCAGTGACAACTGAACAACAACAAGAATTGTCTTCATCAAATCATAATGAAGAAATGTTTGAGGATGCTGAAGAGTAATAAATGGAGTAATGGTAGTAATGAAGATGAAGAGAAATTTAAATTTTCATGTAAAAAAAGAATTATTTCAAATAATATATTAATGGTAAAAAAAAATAAAAAAAAAAAGAATTAATTCTTATAATCCTTTTTAAAATAATTTCTTCACAACCATATATGCGTAATCAATCAAAAATTTCAGATTGTATCTGAAGTATTTTTGAAAGAGGATACTTTGTTGTCATTTTGTGTTTAATTGTTACTTTCGATAAGAAGTTTTTATTATTAGTAAATTTTGTTTTTACGGGAGTGTCGGACTGGATTGGTTGAGGTCACACGAATCGTTTTCATCATCATCAATTACTACTACGTCATCTATTGCGACGCGACACACGCCAATTTTTTTATAAAATAAAATTTACGTTTATTGATACAAAAATAAAAATTCTATAATAATATTTTGGTAATGAGAAGGTCAGAAGATACCGTAAAAATTTCAACCTTATATAGCTTAGAAATTTATTGTTATTATTTAATTTGAATGCTTTAACATGAAATGATTACATTACTATCAAATAGATAAATTAGTTGTAAAAATTTGAATAATTAATCGGTTATGTTGATAATATTAGAGTGGAAGAGTAATAAAGGAAAAGAAGAAAGGAGAGTGACAGAGGAATGAAAAAAAAAAAATGAAAATTGTTTAAAAAGAAAAACAAAACTACATTAATCTATCACTTAAATCAAAATCAATACCGAGTAAATTTTAATCAAACCAACAAATAAATTTTTGAAATGAATTGAGATCAACCCAACAAATAAAATGTTTAAAATGAATTAAAATGAATTGAGATCTACCCAACAAAATAGATAAAATGATAAAATGAATTGAGATCAACCCAAAAAATTGATTTTCAAATGAATTAAAGATTTTGAAATAAATATCAATCTGGAAAATATCTTTGAGAATTCGTGAAATATTTTAACGGGAATTGAAAAATAGAGATTATGATTAAACCTTTTTAACAACTTTCGACTCGATCTCTAAGATATCTTTTATAGGCACTATACACACGTGCAATTTCATAAGATGTCATCCAATCAGTGGGCCATATTTTCAATAACTAATTAATTAAAAATGATAAAATTTGTTAAAATATAATATGCTATGATATAATATAAATGATATTATTAAAATACTACTAAGTACCGCTTGATATAAACTCTTTCGACAAGTTTGTTCAGAATGTCTTTCTGATTTCTCATCCGCTTCACTATTTATTATTTTTTATAAGATTTCAAGTCAATCATAAACATTCTCAAATTTACAAAATTTACAACAAAATAATAATATAATTGAAAAAAAAAAAAAATCAAACATACTTAAGTTCATTGCTCATGCTAACCCAAGCCATTTCTTCTTGAACTATTCGCCATAAAAGTCGTCGAGTTGTGTCATCCCAACGGAATTTTTTACCGAATGAGTCCTTAGATGGTCGATTATTTAAACTACTATCCGATCGACTGTCCGATTTGATGTCAACATCATCATGATCCATATCATCATTATCAACCACGGAATCAATATCCATACTAGAAACCGAACTTTCAGATGAGTTTTTTTCTCTTCTCGCGTTGTAATCATGTATTAAAGACGGTGTAATTGCATCTACCGCATTTTTTAATTGTTCAATTAATTCAGCCTTTTTCTTCTGAATGTCAATAAGTGTTTTTGGATACAATGTTCGTTGACAAAGACGCTAATTTGATTGTTAAAAATAGATATAGACATATATATATATATATAATAATTAGAAATATTTAATTTAGCCAAACTTTACTCATATATAATTGGAAATATTTCATTTAGACAAAATTTTTACTTACAGTTATCGTAAATTTATTATAAGGTAACATGTTCGTCAAAATTTTAAAAAGATTTTCATTGAATTGATTAAGTTCGTAAGCCTTCACTAAAATATCCGTTAATGGATTCTTGAGGTTTGGGGGGAATTTTGATTTAACTTCAAAAGATTCTAATTTAAAATATTATAAATTAATGATTTATGTTTATGGTACAGAGAAATTCTTATATCGAAAAATTAATCAAACCTTTTTCAATTTGTTGTTTAAAAATATTTAAAAGTCGTTGGACCTCCGGGTTAACACTTTCCTATAGGAAAAAGTATTAAAATATTTTTAATGTTGGTTGAGTGTGCAGAAAAGTCATAAATTCAAACCTTCTTACCACTGAATAAATTTTCTTCTTTTTTCCTGGCGTCTTATTAATTTCAAATGTTTTAGAAACTTCTGACGTTAAACTGTGAACATCAAATACGGAAATTTCCATTTTGTTCGTTTCTTCATTAAGCGTTTTAAGTGAATTTAAGCTACTTTCTGTCATTAATTGTGATTCTTTTTGACTTTCATTATTGATTGCTGCTTTTCTTGACCCCCTTTTCTTTTTAGCAGGGGGTTGTTTTGCGATATTATCGGCCCCAGTTTCTTCGGTTTTTTTGCTAGTACGCTTCCTGCGTACCTTAGGTGCACCTTCTTCTGTAGATTTTTGTTTTCGTTTTGTTTTTTTCTTAGGTTGTTCTCTAATAAGAATATTGAATAAGATACTGAATTATAAAATTCATTATGAGTAAAACAATAGATAATATATAACATATTAATTTAATCCTTACTCGTCTTCTTCATCCTGATTTGCAATCTCTAAGGGTCCCTGCCACACGAAATATCCATCAATTTGAGGGCGGGCTTTTCCGAAATTACGTTGTAGAGGAACTAATTCACTATCGTCTATGAAGGGGTCACTTGTATCATATTGTTGTTCTTTTTTGTTGCCTCTGGTTTTCCGTTTCTTATTATTTTTTTCCTATATTTGTAAAGTTTTTAACAAGTGTTAATATAGGTTGTTCGGTTTTTATAAATAAATTATTTATTGTAAATAAAAATATTTATTGTGAAGAAATACATTTACTGTAATTACTATACCTGTTCAGCATAAATTTCCGCATTTTCTAGGATTCTTTCAAAGAATCCACCTTCATTATTAGAGTCTTTCGTTAACTGTAAATCATCGGGAGCTTCGAAATCAGATAATTCTGTATCTGATCCGGAAACGTATCGTGGTGTTTTCTTAATTTCAATTCCCGCTTTCTTCAAAAGGTCAGGAAAATAAACTATATTATTATAACGATTTACCAAGGGTATTTCCAATCTGATGTCAGGTTGTTGATTAGCGACCTTCATTGGCCCCAAACTTTCCATATTTTCCATATTTTTATACTGCGCCTTGTGACTGAACTGAACCTGTATATATTTAGAGAGAATCTTAGAGAATCTAACGTCACAACAATTTCATCATCATAGTGACGTAATAAACTACTATTATTATTTTGTTTATTACCAAGTTTTCGGAATGATGCCACACTTGTACACAAGTTCATTTGAGTAACGTATAAATTGATATTATTCCTTTTTTGCGCCAAATAACACATCTTTCTCTAAATAATTTGGGTAATAACAATCTTGTTGAAATTTGCATTTTTTTTATTATGAACTTTTCTAACCTACCTGATTATTTATTTATCTAGTTCTAATTATGGTTTTCAACAGGATAGAACAACGGTTTAGCGTGTTCTAATATACGCATTATAAGAATTTAAAATGAGGGTTCGCCATCTGGTACGTGGGTGTGCAGTGCCAATTGTCAATCTTCATCCACCGTCCGAACACAATGGGCGTGCAACTCTCTTCAATTTTTTTTAACTGAATACCTTTTGACTGTGCAAATTGATATTGCCGACAATGATTGATCCATGACTTTAAAGTTTAAAGACCTAAAACACATAAAAGTTCAAATCTCTTTTTTTGATTGCATGATGATACACATTCCGAGAGTATAATACTTTGGAGGTAGTTTCCTAGAAAAAAATTCACTGTTTATTACTCCCACTTTCTTCATGTGGAAAGAATTTTGTGAAATAGTTATCTTCGCAAAGATGACAAAAGAAATCTTTCTTTTATAGTTTTATAAAATGAAATCTTTAATAAACAACAATGCAAGGAGGATAGGAAAGAAAGAAAAAAAAATCTTAATTCAAAATTATTTAAATAAAATTTTCTTTCAAATTTTTTTTTTTATAAAATTTTTTTCAAAGAAAAAACTTTGCACAATTTGGAATATTAATCAATACAATGAAATTACAACAAACTTTATAAATGAATACTGACATTTTTTTTTATATTTGTTCATCAGGAAAATAAACTTAACTACTGAGATTTAATAAATTTTTATTATAATACGATCGATTACATAATTAATATATAGAAGAGATAGATATAGATTTGGAAAATAAGAAAAATGAATGGGGAAAGGATCTAATAGAAAAACCTGGAAAATCCTGAACGTGGCTTCCGAGGAGGGAGCTTAACCTTTTTTTGATGGTGCTTGGATGTATTAACTTGACCGCGGAATGATGTATCTTTCATAGTTTTCAAGGTTTCTCCGTTGATCTTTAGATTATACAATTCTTTTTCGAGCTTCGCTATGTCGCTCGGTGTGATTGGAGTTTCGGAAGGATCGTTACTCTCAATTGCTTTCTTTATAACTTCTATCTTTTTCAGATATTCTTTTTTCGTATTTTCGAGTCTTTCAATGATTCTATTATCATAATTAGCACGATCACTATTCTTCTTGATATTTTCTTCGCGAATAAAATGATCTAGATAATCGGCATATGCATCATTGAAAGTAGCTATTGCGCTCTGCCTTAGAAATTTTGCGAAAGAGACGTTAATTTCGGTTATTTTCTTTTGTTCATTTTCTAACTGAGCACGTCTCTGTTGAAGAGCTTTTAAGGCCGTTTGTTTTGTCTCTTTAAATGATTTCTTGTTTTTGATCATGTCCTGCACACTCTGATCAACGACGTTTTTATAGACGTACTTAACATCATAGTACCAGTGCATGTGGGTTCTCCAGGAGCACCCGCAATGGTTACAATTTCCATCACTTGATATAGCTGAACATTGCTGTAAGGCTGAATTGTTAATTACTTCTCTCACAACCCCGTTCAAATAACAGTGTGGATGACAATGTGCATTATAAACGACCGTTCCGTTCACGGTTTGCGTACGGCAATTTGTGCATACAGTTCTGGGATGCCCCAGATCTACTTTATCAACTGTTTTCTGCGGGATGTATAGCTTCTTATGAAGGTCTTGGATGGATTCGTCGTAGCTATTAATTTCCTTTTGTCGATCGCTGACTAGACTAATATTTGTTTGAATAAGAGTTTCTGCAAGTGCAAGCGGTTTGGCAAGGTGTAATACTCTATTTCTGGCTTCGTTGAGTGTCAAAGTGTCTTCTACTTTGTGAGGTTTGCGCAAACTAAGATATTCGAGGAGTCTCACTGATTCATCTACTGATCTTTTCCAGCTCTCCGCAAAACTTTTTTCATCCATTTCGTCGAACTCTATACCATCTTTGGCTGCCGCTAGGAACCGAAACGATTCACTGTCAAAACAGTACAAAGTATTTCTGTTTGTTTTTATTTCAACACCGGATCTTTGTTTGAGGGCACGAAGTTGTTCTTTGAGTGCCGGTAATGTATCTCCTGGACGATAGAGTGTTCCTCGAGAATTGGTAAAACAGAAGACAATATTGTCTTTAGCATTTTTGTGTAGATGCGATAGTAACTCTTGTATGCAAAATCTAAATATTATAGTCAATCGAGAGTCATTGGGCTTGAGAAGGATACAAATCCCATGCAGATCTTCGTAACAGCTGATATATTTGAGAATGTTTTCAAAATTTTTCATGTCTTGTTCGATTCCTCTGGTGTCCCCTATTCCAGGAGTATCGATCAATGTTACGAACATATCGCCACCTAAAGAAAATTTATAACTTTGGCATCCCTGGGTGGCTGAAGATCCGACATTTTCTAAATGCTCGTTCGCATCATTATTGCCAATTTTTACTGTTCTCATCTCATAATCCTTATCCATTGTCGTGAATTTGGATGAGATAAGTACCTCCATGTCCCCAGAAAGTGCATCATTTAATGTATCGAACTTGAGATAGTTAATAAAAGCGTTTATAAATGTGGACTTTCCTACACCAGTTTCACCGAGCAACAATACATTTAATTCTTTCTGCGATGTGGCTATTAATGTAAGTTGAGTCTCAGAAGAAAGTTGGGCCATTGCTGAAAGTTGGGTCTCAGAAGTAGAAGTGTAATAATGTTCACAAACGTTCAGGTTGTTGAATAGTAGTATTTAAATAAATCTCTAAAAATACTTCCTCTACTAACTAATCTTACGAAATAATTATCGTATTGTTCTTACTAAATTCTTCCAGCGCCCATTGTATTTTATTCCCATCTAATAAATTTCTAAGAATATTTCTTTTTACTAACTGATATAAAATAATTAAAATAATTATCACATCGTTCTTACCAAATTCTTCTAACGCCCATTGTAATTTTATTATTATCTATTTTTATGACATACTAAGTGCTTTTTGTGTGTTGCTTTCATAGAAACTTAAAAAATAGCTCAACGTTTATCTCAATAAAGAAAAAAAATTTTTTTGCTTTAAAACAAGAATTTTAATGAACTTCCACTTCCAAAAAAGAACATTGCAAATTATAAAGTATTAATTAAGAAGAATAATATAATTCTTTCCGTTTAAGGGATAAGATTTTATCAACTATATATTCACATTTCATTGTTTTTTCATCCATTTTTAGCGAACGTAACAATATATGGAGCATGAATAATAATTCGCATGTGAGCCGAGTATTTTTTGACGTATCTCATGACATATTACATTGACGTAACTCATGACATATTACATTGACGTAACTCAATAAGTCATAACAATAAACATATTCATATTAGTAATATTATCAATATTTTAATTAGATATTTAATAAATTATGAATTCTCTCATTCAAGACGTGATAGTTGTTTCATATCAATTAAATCAATATATTCGTAGAGATATAAAAATTTTTTGATAAAAGACTTTATTGATTTATCAGATAAGTCAATAGTTATGACGTAACCCTCAGCAGATAGATAGACGCGAATTCTGAACCTTTCAAAAAAAAAAAGATTCATTTATTAAATTAAATATATTTTCTGATTCAACAAAATGAATTTTTATAGTGCAGATACTTATTTTGCAATAAACATTTTTTTATATAATCATGTAAGAGTGTAAAAGTGTAAGAGTAAGAGGTTATAAAGTTCATTCATCAGAATGTTTTTGGAAAAAACCTTCAAGCACCATGTATTGAACATTTAAATATAACCTTTTCAAGAAATCACAAAAATATTTTGTAAAGGTATTAATGATGATACATATATCTGATATTATAAATTATATTATTAAAAAAGTAGTATATTTCTATTATTTCTATACAGCTATAGTCACCCCCTGTACAATCACATCATATAAACCCCATGAGGACCAATACTTAATAATACCATATAAAAATCCCTCTATATGTTTATAATCACACTTTTTATTTTTTGTTTCTATGGTCCCGAGGGGTGTGCTTGTTGAGGGGGTCCACTGTAATTCCATTATTTTATTTGATTGTATGAAATAAAAATAAAATTAGTAAAATACATCAACATTTTAATTAGTTTTTTTTTTAATGAACTGTTTATCTTGTCGAATACGGAAAGATACTGGACGGCAATGTGGATATATGGATTCGTGTAACAACAGGGTTCGATAAACATGAAACACCTTTATCTTTCAGAATTAGAATTATTTTTTTTTTCTGAATTATTACTTTTACTTTCTCGTCAAAAACTTCACTTCTAAACAAACTGGATCAACCACAATATTAAAATAAATAATTAATTAATTAATCAAAAAAAAAAAAAAATGAATCCTGCTATAACCACCACTACTACCTATAAAGATGACAATAACAATAGCCCTAGTTCTTATATCCAAATAAAACCAAATAAATTAGTGCGAGCAGAACTATTAAAAAATGATTTTTCTCAACCAAAATATATTAGAACGAAGCCCAACGTCATAGTTAGAGCTGAAGTAGCAAACAACTTCAATGGGAAACACCCAAAACATCCTAATTCATACTCATCAGTTCCATATTATCCAAGAACCCCATTTCACCCTCCACCTTCGCCAAGGAATGGATATCGCCCCCCTTATAATTACAACCAAACAAATGACAATAATAATAATGACAATAATATGAGGTGAGGTTATAATTAACATTTTTATTGTTTTCAAATAAATAGGGTACACGGCGTTTTACATACTACGCAAGCAGGACCTTTGTGCGATAGATCTTTTTACTTTGTTATTAATCTTTTAGTCTCCCACCTCCACCAACTCGTCCCTTAAAGACAAGACTTATTAATAAATTTTGTATATTTTTCTCTAAATATGGTAAGCTTTGATTATGTTTAATGTATTTCGAGCTTACGATTATTATTGTTATTATTATTATTATTATCATTATTATCAATTATTATTATTATTATTATTATTATTATTATTATTATTATTATTATCAATTATTATTATTATCAATTATTATTATCGATTGCCTCATTCAATCATTCATTATAGTTTATGTTAGGTTTGTGCTTTCAATGGTTTATTTCGTAATTTAATTAATTTGTTTATATTTTAGGTAAATGTAAAGAAGGTGATAAGTGTGCGTACATACACGACCCAGATCGAGTTGCCGTCTGCCGAAAATGGCTGAGAGAGAATAAATGCAGTCTAGGTGATAAGTGCACATTACAGCATAAGAAATCACCACATGTGATTCCTTATTGCCGTCATTTTTCTCATGGTTTGTGCATTAACAGAAAATGTCATTACACACATGTTCGTGTAAATCCAAAAGCCTCAAGATGTGAGGCCTTCATTAAAGAAAGATATTGTCCGAAAGGGTTCGATTGCAGAGAGAAGCATGAATGGTCGTTCCCAATATTTGATGATGATGAGATTGAGGAGGCAAAGAAGAGGAAGTGGGACGATAGCGAAGACAGCAATGATGAATTTAAAAAAGATCAAAAAGAAGAGTCTTCAAAGCCAAAGATTCGGGTTAAGCAAGAGTGGGAGAATGTAAACGAGTTTTCAGACGGGGGATTCGATTTCATTCCTTTTGAATATTCATACGAGAAGAAATCAAAATTAAATTCATTAAAATCCCCGTTGAAGAAACTTAAGAGGTAAATATATATTTTTTTTGACTTTTAGATAATAATGATAATAATTGATGATTGAAGAAAAAAAAAAAAATTTAAAATAACTTTAAAAAAAATTTAAGCTTGTAAATAATCGATTGTATTGTAATTTCAATATTCATTAAAAAATTCATTAAAAAATGCTTTAAAAGTATATTATTATACATGTGATAATGAAATATTTAGGAAGTGGTTTATATGAATAGTTATTAAAGTGCATTAGATTTTGGAGTCTTTGTGAAACCTGATTGAAGATATATTATTTTGTGTTAGTGTTACTGAGACTATTCCGTTTAAAAAAGATTTCTATAAGTGATTAGTGGTACGACTGCGTTGTACAGTCCGTTTTTATAATAATTGTTTTCAACCTCAATTTCTGTATATACATGTATTTGTTATTGTTATTGTTATTGTAGAGATAGAGGTAGAGGAAGAGAGAAAAAAAAAGAGGTAGAGGAAGAGAGAAAAAAAAAGAGGTAGAGGAAGAGAGAAAAAAAAAGAGGTCGAAAACGAAAATCTGATGCAATCGAAAATTTCTAATGACCCAAAGTCGCATCTTTATCATTGGACTTGAGTACGAATGATCAAAAGTGACAGTACGGTTCACGAAGAACAAATAGAAGAAGTAAATCGGATAGAAATAAAATAATTTTTTCTTATCAAGAAAAAAAGACTTAAATTAGTATAAATTATTTGTTATATTATGAATGGTTAAAATACAAAATTTTTATTAGTTTATATTAGTTTATAAATGATTAGTAGTAATATGTATAAACTAGCATAAACCAAAAATAAAAATCCCTTTCTATAATAACAATAATAAACATTTATTTTAAATCTTTAATGATATAGTCATCAACTACCCGATCTAGTTTTATATAATAAAAATTTAAATAATTATGGCAGATTTTTCACTCAAGGTATTTGTAGATTACTAATTTTATAGTTTTTGTGGAAAAATATTATATTATGGTATTTATATTTAGTATTTTCAATATATTTATCCGATTGCGTTAATTGATAAGAAATAAATGTGAAAAAATTTTAGATAGTGAAGATCACAAGATTCACTCAAACCATATGAAATAAATAAAAATCAATTTCTTATATAAATGTGTCGTGAACGTACAATAAATAAGGATAACGAAAGTGAATAATATTTATTATCTTTAAGAAATTAATATCTTATATTTTTAATAATGAAATACAATATCTTCTTCATTCTTACCATTTTCACAATTTTCTGCCTAGTTGCTAATGTATATGAAGGTAATTAAATATTTTTTTTTTTTTAAAAAAAAAAAAGTTTAACGAACGTTTATAGTTCACGGTACCAATATCTACTATTTCTATTTTATAGTAAATGCATCAACGATTAAACTCAAATCTACTTTCTGGTCGAGTGCGGTTGGGGATGCATGGATAATTAATTGTGACAATCAAGAAGTTGTATCGCATCTATCTAATCTAAAATTTACCAGTGATCAATCCGAATGTCTAGTATTTAGCACTTCAACATCACTTTCCAAATATTGTCTTCACATTGTTATTTATAAAAATGCACATGATGAAGATAATATTGACAATAGTCAAGACACTTGTTACGAAGTTGATGGCTACGAAGCTGGCTGGTCATTAAGCAAAATAGATTGTGGACAAATTCCTTCAAACATAACAGCTTGTAATAAATAGTCATTTTTTAACTACAATTTCTTTTTTATTAGAAATTTGTTAATTCCTTTTTTACACAACTTTTGGTTGACGAAAATAAAAGATAGTTCATTTTAAGTATATATACGGATTTAAAATTGTTGTATAAAAAAATACATGTATCGAATTGTAAATATTATAAACATCAACTAAAAAAGATAATTGATGGCTGAATAACAAAATGACTGAATATTTATGACGCTTCGCTTCAGATAAATTACGGCAAGCAGATAGAAATAAGTAATGCAAAAAAAAATTTAGATATCTAAAACCTCGATTTATATTCCCTATCCTAACGCCCATTGTCTTCGAACCTAATGTACATTTATTGATGATGCGATCCTAAAATATCACCCTTCCGGAAAAATAATTAATGCATTAATAATTTGTTACACATCCTCCCTTTGCGTTTAGGACGGATGCGGTCTTATGCACATTTATAATTTCTGATCCCGAACTGGACGAAGGAATTGTGTTTGAGTCAGAAGTATCAGAGTTAGAATTATTACTGGCAAAATAATGTTTGTTTCTTTTTATTGTGGAATAATGTGCTTTTGCCTCTTTTCGAAGATGTCTCTCTAATTCATCATTAATCTAGATTGTATCTTTTCTGCGTTTTGTTTTACTCTTCTAATTTTTTTCTTTATCAGAGCATCTACTTGGAATGAGAGGTGGAGGAGCGAAAAATCTGATTTATAGCATGGTTCTTTGGTTCCTTAACTCTGGCTATTACAGATTTTTGATTATTGACACAATCATAACCTAATATTCCTAATACAAGATTGACTTTAGGATTTTCATAAAATCATTATCAACATCATCATCAGATAATATAACTCACTCCTTAAACCGAAAAGATAATTTACGGCATTCCACAATACCTACAGCATCCTTTATGCATTTTTTAATATATTTTGGTGGGTCGTTATATTTTTATTTTTAGTTTATCAACTAAACTTTTTACTAATTTCATTCTCATCCGATGATGTATCAATTAATACCTTAACTAGATAAAGTTTGTTACTTTCTTCAACTGCATTTTACATATATCATTTTAAGATATAATTTTATTATTCACTATATCTTTTAGTCAGAAAAAAATAACTAATAATTATTTGTTTATTCTTTATCCGTCTCAAGGTCCATCACATAATGAAATTTCTTGAATAAGATTATTAAATTCATTAGTTCATTCTGAATTGTTGACCTTTATAATGCGGATCTAATATAATTATTGAAATATAGAAATAAAATCTGTTTTATTTATCTCATTTAATCTACCAGTAAAAATTGGAAGGGTTAAATCCTCTCATTATCTGGATTAGAATTAGAAGTATCAATTCAGAACCTATTGATTTAAAATTGGTCCATTTATCTTCAGAATTACTGAATTCATTTTATCAATTAAGTTATTCTCCATATTTTTCTTAAAAAATTTGATTAAAATTATATCATCACCCTTATCTATTCTAATTAATTAATTTAGGATATAACATTTTCATAGAATATATACAATGAACAAGGTAATATTTCTATTTTATCTACTCTCTTATAATATTTTCCTTTTTTTTTTCCAGTGTAATCTTCTACTGTGTTCTTCATATCTCATTAGCCATGTACTTCCTAAAACCAAGTCATATTCATGTTTATCAATTATTAAGAAATATATATAAGTTTCATTTAAATAATAAGGTAAGGATTCTAATTTTCCTAACTCAAAAATATTTGATAAAAAAAAAAAAAAAAAAAAAGAAATTTTTTTATCATGGAGCCAGCCTCTTACCATTACTTTCTTACCAGCATTTGTTACTCCTTTGTCAAGTGTTTTCATTGCAAAATATTCAGATCCATACATCCTAGTTTATAGTAAAATCGGAACTTTACTTAGACCCGACTATTTGTAAATAATAATAATTGATAAAAATAAATAAATAAAAGTAAAGAAATCAAATTTGGTGGTTAGAATGCAGTAATAATTGTGCCCAATCAACAAACCGAAATTGTGAAAAATATGGTTTTTTGATATAAAAAAAAAAATTTTCGTCACATACAGAAATAAATTATTTACTAATAAAAATATCAAAACGATATTAATTAAACTCAAAGCCAGAAATATTAGTGCATCTACTAAAGAAGTTTTAGATATATCCCAAGAATTAAGTGAATGTAATAATTTTCCATATAATAGCCCTTTGATCAGGGGAGTTGAATAAAAAAAAAAAATAATAATTTATGCAATTTATTGTGTCACAATTCATCCTTGAAAATTGATTGATAAATTTGGAAAAAAAAACCCACTACTTGGAAGGTGGATGAACATATAATTTTTGATATGTATCATTCTCTTGAGACAAAAATGTGACAAAAGATTGTACAAGAAGAGAGAGGTTTTAGTTTTAACGTTAATAACAAAATTTAATAAATTTAATAAAATCCTTAATTAATAATAATTTTTAAAATTATTATTTAATGCATGTCACATGAAAGCGGAGATTTATTTATTTTTTCATTTAATTCATTAAAGTGTAATACCTAAATCGTGATACTAACATGGTACAAACTTAGACTATCATAATTATTTTTGAGAGACAGAATAAATTTGTCAATTTTTCAAGAAACATTTTTTAACTGAGAAATATCCGTGTTAAAATTTCTTTTGTTATTATTGATTTTTTACTTATATATACATAATTCGAGTTAATTTTCTCATCTTATTCTACAAGACTTAATTATTGAGTTATCTTTTTATTGAATTTTAATTAAAAGTTACATTCAAAATAACTTTTCAACCAATACGTTTGACAACATAAAAACAAAATGGTTAGGCAACAACGACGTAATTCTCGGAGAACTCGTAAGTATTTAAAAAAAATATAACATTACCCTTGTACACATTTATACTTGTAATTTCGCTTTTATATGAATGATTACACGTTATAAAAGTTGGATTCGCGTGAAATATTATTTTTGTCAATCTTGACTACATAATGAATTTCACTCCCCAATTAACGAACAAAAAACCAATATAGTTGAACAAAAGTCAATTTCAAACGTATTCGATCGAAGAGAAGACGACGACAACGATACATATAATTTTAGGATTTTGTTATATAAAATATTAGATATCTTTGAAGCGTAAATAATCTTTATATATGTTTCATGTTTAACTTCAATTCTTTGAAAATATAACTAACAAAATAAACTCTATAAATTCAAAAAAAAAATTTTTTTTTTTTGATAAATTTTATTTTTGATAATTTTATAGTAGTGACAAACACCAATTAATGAAACACACCAAACAAATTTCTGGTATTAATGGTATTAATGTTGATGGACAAGAATTAAATTCTGAAATGATGAGAATTAAGATAGGAAAAAATGAGTATAAATCCTTAAAAGAATTTCAGGTTAAATAATTTTACTTTTTTTTAAAAAAAAAAATTTTCACTGAATTTTCACTTAATTTTTAATAAATTTTTAATAAAATTTTAATAAAATTTTAATAGGATGATTTTATTTCCATAATTAACAATGCCACATTAAATAATAAAGAAAATTATGACTCTGGAATGAAACTTCTTCAATTTGGTTCTAGATTAATTGAGCAAGCTGTTAAAGATGTACCACCTAGTAAACGATATTTGGAAAATATTGAAGATGAAGATGATGACGACGAAGATGATGAAAAATCTTTCTCACCAAATAATCTAAATAATAATAATACTCGTATGTATTGTATTAATAATATTTCGTAAATTCAATATATAACCATGATATAAATAATGAATTAACATTTTTATTCAAAAAAAATTTTTTTTTTTTCAGTTATCAAAGGGCCTCAAAAAATTGCTTTAATGCAACCAACTACTAATGGATACGTTTTCTCGAGTGTAACGATGAAACAGCCAATATTGAATAATAAATTTGAATTAGGTATATAATCATTTCAATTAAGTTGCTTCTTAAATGATAATTGATATAATTAATTTGATTTCAATAGTTGGTGAGTTAAAAGAGAAAGTTATTACACCTCAAGAGTCAATGAGCGAACGAGATATTCCTACTCTTGGTTCTGTCCTAACCAAGAAGATAAATAAATCTGAACAATCTACGCAATCCAAAGATACAACTGTTCCCGGAGGTATTTTTCATCAATCAAAAAAACTGATTCGCGTTGATCTATTCTGTTTTATTAACGATAATCCAAAAAAAAAAAAAAATTTAGTAAATTTTAAATTTTTTTTTTGATCGATTAATAAAAACAAAACAGATTCTCACGAATCAGAAATGAACAAGTCAAAAAAATTATGATTAATCAATTATTCGTTTTAACTTTAATTTAGTTTATTTAAACTCATATAAGCCATATGGATCGTTTGCTCCTATTTATAATTCAAGAGGTGCCATTTTGTCTTATGAAGATACGATGATGACATATTCTTACAAACAAGGAAAAAAAGATGATATTAAGAATATTGAATCAACATTAGAAAAGAATAATATTGATCACGATGTTACTAAATCTGATGGCAATATCTTAATAAATTCTAATTCTAATGAATCAAATGAACCCACTATTCAGAAAGAGAATCTTGCGATCGCAATGTCGGAGTGTTTTAAAGATATCGATATTGATATGATTTATGAATCATTAAATAATGACGATGATGATGATGATGATGATGATGATGAAAACAATTGTCCTATAACTGATAAAAGATTAGATGAGAATGTAGTGATGTTTGCTAGGTTACAAATGTTACAAAATAAAAGATTTCAAACAAATCCCGATATAATAAGTTCCGAGGAAAAAATTCTTTGTATGTTTTAACTATTTTAATAATAATATATTATAGAATATATATATATATATATATATTGGAATTACATTATGCTAATCTTTTTTATTTTTTTTATTTTTCATATTATAAACAATAGCAACAAAGTTGAGAAATCGACTCGCTGAAATGATATCTGTCGTTCCTCCATCTAAACTTGTTTCACCTGGGTCCATAGAAAAGGCCATGTCTCAATTACCATCACGGGAAGCTGCATTTAAGGGCACACTTCCACCTGACAATAATCGAGCATATCCATCAAATGAAGTATCTCGTGATGCTTTTAACAATTTTATAAGCGCAGTCCGACCTTCAGAAACTACATCTACTTATTCTCCACATCCAAATTCCCAAATGGGAAATCCACAAATCAGATCAACAGTGATGGGACCGCCACCGCCACCACAATCTCATCCACCACAACTAAAATCCGAAATATCACGTACACAACCACAAACAGGATACTTACATTCACAATTAATGTCACCGTCACATGCATCAAGGAGCTACCTACCAATGAATCCTCAGCACGGAATTCCAAGACAAGACGGATATTATCCTGGTTATCATGGTTACCCAACACAATACTCTCCTCATTTACAACGAGGGTATAGTCGTCCTAATGTGGGAAATAGTCGCTCCCACATAGGAAATAATTTGCAGCAAACGCGACCAGGTTATTAATATTATAATTTAGGAATGTCTTCAGAATGTTGCATGAGCAGTAAGTCTTTTCTTAAGTTTTACTTGCTACTTTTACACACCTCTCACTTGTTAGTGAGCTAGATAATTAGATATTAATGTATTTAGTGATATAAAATAATAATAATAATAATAATTAATTTGTAAGTATTAAAAAAAAAAAAAAAAAAAATAGGTGGGACTTTAACAATAATTTTATAATAATGTTTAATGTGTAAAAATTTTTCCGCAACCAGGAGATAACATCTCCGTCGCTGTAAATAAAGATTACTGATATTATGTCATTGGCATAAATATCGAAAACAATAATTTATGAATACAAAAAAAAAAGTGACAATTCGATTTCAATTTGAATTATTCCATAAAATAAATCACATTCGAAACCATATAATATTATTGTATAAAAATAATAGAAGTAAAAAATGCATATAATACATATTAAATTTTAAATTTAATGAGTGTTTTTTTTTTTTTCTCTTTTAATAAAACTTTATTTATTTCTATTAATTCGAATTTCTTTGTAATGATACAACTCTCGTTATAAGAAAAAATTCATTAATGCTAGAGCAACAATTTGAAAACTGGTCACTAAATTCGGTAATACAATGAGTTAATGGTTTATTTTTTTTTAGATAATTATTACTGAAAGCATCCCGTGCCGTGACTTCAAATAACATTCAATGGTTGAATATCAGATATTTCAAATTTATACTCTAAAATTTAATTGTATATTGTTTTCTCAATTCTCAATATATAAGGCTGAAATTTTTACAAAAGATGCTTCACATTTTAGATTTTAAGGTGACTTAGTACTACATTTATTATTAAGTTAATAAATAATAAAAGTTTTCAAATATAAAGAATTGATATAATTATTTTTAAATTTTTTTATTTTTTAAAATTTTATTAAATTTTAGTCATTTTTATTCATGTCTAAGTGAAGTCAAAATTTTTATTAGATATTGAGAAAAACGTCAATAATTAAAATTATAGATATTATTTTTGACTATAATTTCATATAAAATAATTAGTATCTATCTTTAATATCTATTGAATATAGTATAGGTAACAATCTAAGAATAAATTTATTAATTTTTGTCAGTTTCATTTGAAGTGTAATATCTCTATGTATAGGTGTTCAATTTTATCACAAATATATCATATTATAGTCTTAGTTTAAAGAAATCTAATAAAAAGTTTGTACAATTTAAATCACTCACTGTGTCACAATTAACATTTTAATTTTTTAAATTTTATCATTTCACAAATATTTTTGCTTGGAAAGTGTATAATCAAAAACTTTATATGTGGCTATGATCAAAATTATTTTCATTTTTATAAAAATATAATTATTAGGTATAATTTATCAAAATATAAAATCAAAAATAATTTGCAATAATAGCTACATATAAAAGTTTTTAATTATATAATCTAATTATAAAAATATTATTAAGCAGACTCATAAACAATAAAAATATATATCAACAGTAGAAATATTAGATCTAGTTATTTAAAATTAAGAGAATTATAAGTGATCAAATTTTAAATAGCCATATGAATTAAAACATCTATAATTCTTTTAATTTTAATTATATAGAATTAATAATTTTACAGTTGATATATATTTTTATTATCTACAAAATTACTTAGTAATATATTAACAATTTAATTATAAAATTAAAAACTTTTATTAAGGCTTAGAACTGGATTTATATAATCTGAATTTATCCAGATACTGTGGATGACCTGGTTAAAACTTTCAAAACCAAATCATCCATATGATATTTTATATTTATTATGATTTGATCTGAATTATCAATCCAGTTTGTAACAGTATTGACAAGTGATATCAATGACTTACATAACTTGTGATCGATTATATGATTATTTGTCATAGCAAAAATTATATAACCAAGTTATATAGATTAGCCAATCAAAAAAAAGATTTATTTTGAAATTTAATATTTTCGAATCTTTATTATTTTATAATTATTTTATAATTAATTATTAAAAAAACAATTAGTTTAGACATATAATTAGTCTGTAATTAATTATTAAAAAAACAATTAATTATTAATTATTAAGAGTATAATTAGTTTATGGGAAAATATTTATTATTAAGAAAATAATCAATTTCAATGTATGCAGGTGGTTTTAAATCATCAATAAAAAGATGGAATAATTTTCATTTAGCATTCTGATCATCTGCTAGATGAATATTACATGTTCCAATCAAATAATCATCATTTAAAAAATCTCTATTAAGTAATAATTCATCATATTCATTTTCAATTTGATTTTTATATGTGTATTTATTAATCCATTAGGAAATAATTGTTTTCCATTGATTTGTATCTTCTTCTATATTAAGTTCAAATACATTTTCTTTTTGTATCTCAATATTATTATCATTACTTATAATTATAGAATCTGTTGTATCAATTGAATTGTTTAAAATTTCATGATCAATAATTTACGAATCATCTATATCTTCATCAATAATCTGTAAATTATCTATATCCTCATCAGGAATAATTGATATTGCAATATGGAGCCATTTTACTTCTTAATTAATTTAATTAACTTCATTAATTTTACATTTATATAAAATATCACTATGAATTTGACTCATTGCAAGAATTTTCTTATATTAAAAAATAATTTAAAAAAATTAAATTAATTTAAATTAAAAAATTATTGAAAAATAAATAAATATTATTAATACAAACATTTAATCAATTTCATCTGTCAGTATTAGGGTTGTTAATAGAACATAATGGATTGGGTTGAGTTCATATTATAGCGGAGCAATGGTCAACCCAACCCAACCTGGGTTAAATGTATCACTGGTACTCCGCAGGTTGCTCCGCGGGTTGCTCCGGGTTGCTCCGGATTACTCCATGAAGTAATAATTATAATTAGTAAAACTGATCAGAAATAATTATCGATCGTTGCTACATATAAAACTTT